TACAACTATCATATCATGACTACTTGACATCTTACACCAAATAAGGAATCATTATTCCCCAAACATTAATCTCAACAAAGTCGACACATTATCCAACTAAACAAACACTATCTGAATGCAATATAAACATTAATCACACTATTTAATTTCGTTTTAGAATAACACCAATAATCAGTAATAAGACTCCAGCTAAACCAAATGATGGTTACAAATTTGAATATTCCTTGGGAACAAATTTCTATACAGTCAACACAGACAAGGCCAATGTTAATTAATTGCCTAAAATAAGTTGCAATCTTTAAAAAAAACAATAATCGCCAGGTCATTTAGACCTTGCCATACAGTAATGTCATTCACCTATCTTTGAATTGATTGAGTGATTGATGTTTAAAATGCCACTTTCACCACTTTTAGCTCTTTCGAGGTGGTAAGTTTGTATTGGTGGAGGAAGCCAGAGTGCCTGGAGAAAACAACCGACCTTCGGCAGGAAAACTAACAATCCTAGTTGAATTGGAGTGAGGCGAACTTGCCACGTGTGGGATTCGAAATTCACAACTCCAGTGTTGGCAGGCTAGTTGAACAGTAGTTTAACTACTTAAGTCATGCAACCACCTAGGCCCCTTATCTATCTTTGGATACCATACAGTAACCTCTCAATATAAAAAAAGGAGATGAGGTAAAACTGCCAACGAAGCAACGATCCAAAAGAATTAAAATGATGTGGATTTAAGCAATTAAAGGTCACTGTACAGCCTTCAACAATGTCTATTCTGGTTACTTTGTGTTGTTTGGTAGCTGTCTCTTCCACATTAGTTCAACATGTCCTTTAATTGATACAGCTGATGTGTTAAAGTCAAAAAGGGAATCAATTATAATCAAATTAAAACCATCTGTGAAACAAAAAAATATAAATGCAACATGTTACCTAAACAATAAGTTAAATAAAAAGGCCATTGTGACAGTATGTATAACAAAAAAACTGAGTTCTAACTAGGTCAACATGGCATTATTAAACATGATTAAAATTTATTCATCCTGATATGTATCTCAAACTAATTAAGACAAGATACAGCATAAGATCTAGAAAGAAATGTACAAATCAAATTTAAATGTAAATAACGGAGACAGAACTCATTACGAAAAGAACAAAACATCAAAACAGTACGGATCAATACATTGAAAAACCCTCAAGAGTTTCGAAATTTTCAAAATTGATACATTACAAATCATAAAGCAACTCCACATATGGTCTCTCAGGGCAAATAAAATCTTCAGAATCACCAATTATAAGTTCTCTAGGATTCAAATCCAATTACTCTTCAATGCCTTTACTATAGCAATCCAGATCAAATCAAATAAAATTGTCAATGATACAAGTTTTAGTGTATCATTCCTGTTCTAAACTGCAGCATGATAGAAACACAAGATAAGACCAATAAAACCATACACATACTGTTAACATGACCAACACAGATCTTCAAAACCACCTTTGAAGCATTTTGTTGCCATTTAAAAAAAATTAGTGTTTTTTAAACAACCAATTTTAAAAGGACACATACTTCCCCATTTGAATTTAAGTTTCACTAATTTTATCAAATTTATCCCATTTCCTTTTTTCTAAGTTGCAGTTTTCCAAGAACTGAAGAGCATGCTAAACACAACATAACAACAGAATATAACAAACAAATATGAATGAAAATAGGTGTTGGGAAATGTAAATGAGACAGCAACCCAAATACAAGAACATCAAGATTGCTTTTAGCATAAAACTTACTACTAAATATAAAGGTTTATTCTATGCGTGATCTTTATAAAATGTACTTTAGTCAAAAGTGAAAAAACAAAAGAAAATGAACTCCGAGGAAAATTCTAAACAGAAAGTGCCTTATCAAATGGCAAAATCAAAAGCTCAAATGAATGGAAAACAACTGTCATATTCCTGACTTGGTATAGGCATTTCTTTATGTAGAAAAATCCACAAAATTAAAAGTCTCAAATTTTCAGCAATTTTGATTATCAGCATAAAAATGTTTCAGATCATGGAATTATTTGTCCTCATGTTTTCTTATTTCAGAGTATATATAAAAATAAGAAGATGTGGTATGATTGCCAATGAGACAACTCTACACCAGAGACCATATGACATATAAGTTAACAATAATAGGTCACTGTATGACCTTCAACAATGAGCAAAACCCATACCGTATAGTCAGCTATAAAAGGCCCTGATATGACAAATGTAAAACAGTTCAAATGAGAAAACTAACGGCCTGATTTATGTTCAAAACAACAACAATAACCTATGAATTACAGGCTCTGGACTTGGGACAGGCACATACAGAATGTGGCAGGGTAGTGATTCTACTGTACTGATTTTTATTGAATGTTCCATATTTACATGTAAATATATCTTTTTTTTGCCCACTGATCAAGATTAAAAGGGGCAGTTTGAGATGTCATACCTCCGCAATATTCATTTGCCAATCCCAAAGGAAACTTGTCAGTGGTTGCCCATTTGTCATATCTTCATGTTTTTTTGTTATTTGGAGAATTTTGTATTGATGGCCAAAATATTATAGTTTCTCTAAATTTTTTTCATTTTTCACAACTATTTTAGACCTCAAACAATTTTGACCTTGACATATTTTATAGACACCTGTCTATTGTTGGATACTGTATGATGGCCTCTTAAACTCTTTCCCTTGTTTTGCATAGAGTTGCTGTCTCCTTTAATTCATATAAATATTCATGTATTCTGTTAAGTAAATCATAACTGTGTTTGCAATATAAAGTATTTCTGCAGTTATTAATAATTATTGCTGGATATTGGTCAAAAATTGATTTGTTATGTAGAAAAACATGTAAAAGGTCAATAAAATAAATCATTTTCATAGGATTATTTTTTTTATTCACTACTGCTAACATCATGAAAACAACATAACATTATATGTGGTGTGTTGAAGAATTATATGGAGCTTCCACTTAATCCATGTGTAAATTACAGATTCATTAAAAGCTGTTATAAAATCTATAAGTTTTTAGCCTATGATGAGTTCTATTTAACACATCAATACACTGCAAAATAACATTTAATCCATCTAATCACTTTTGAGACCACATTGGTAACATTTCCATTTTAAAAGGCCAAAGCTGATAAATGGTGTGCTACTTTTCTGTAGAAAATCATTTCCAGTAGAAAAACACATTAAAATTTCAATTTTTCATACAAGTCTTCATTCAATGTTCACACTTCGGTTAAATTCAAAGTAAACAAGAGGCTTTCAAAATGACAGCAAACTGGGTTTTTCTTACATAATTTTTAACAACCATTTATTTCAATGAATATCCTTGTGCCCACAGAAAACTTACAGAAAAAACACAATTGTGCCATGAGTGCATGATACAGAACTTGTTTACTTGGAACCTGTGAAACACTGTAAAAGTTAATAAAGATTTCTTAGAAACAATCTGATTTAATGTAAGATTGCTTAGATATATGGACTGACTGAAGGATAATGGTATACTATAATACATCCATCATTGATGGGCACACCCTTAAGGTCTTAATTAAAATCAATAGAATTTTAAATGAATTGACAAAATGTAGTTTATATCATGCTTTTTTCAAATATACAATTTAAAGTATGGGTCACAGGCCATTTTTTCAAACTACAGGTTGTGCAAAATTGTCAGATTTTGTATAGATTATTCATGGAAAACACAATTTTGTGTGATAAAAAAAAACTAAAGGATAGAATTTTAAGATAAAACATGACAAGATAGCTCTTATGTGCTTTCAGAAAATAAATAGAAAAAATTGGGGTCACAAGACTTGTTTTCTTGCTACAAAACATAATAGGTAAATTCATAACACATTCCTTTATCAAAGTAACATTATCTGAATTATCTTCCCTTATATTGCAAAGTTGAACAAATATGAATCAAACAAAAAATATTCTGTTTTTGTAAGAAACAGTCAAAAAAATATGATAAAACACATAATTTTCTTTATTTAATTGAATAAATTTTCAATTGATTACATTTTTTTTCTCGAAATTTGCTCATTTCATTACAGATGTAGACCGATTATTTTCTGCTATTATACAATCCAAGATGACGGAAGATTTACATTAACAACATCTTAACCCACTTCAGACTGATGAACAGAAGCTTTTTTCAACTATTCTATTCAAACCTGCAGTACACAAGACTACCATACAGGATAAATCACATATTCCATTGATGATGATAATTCCATGTTGAAAACTATTTACTGGTATAAGAAAACCAAGAAAATATAAAGAACAACATCAACTCAAAACCATTTATGTACTTATATAAGGAACAGAACTTTTTTTATTTCAAATAAAAGCTGTATCCTAGTCCATGCATTACAGAGTAAATCAGACTTAATCAGATTAATGTTCATGTATTTTAAAGTCAATCCTGTCTGCAGGAACTTCACAATGCATGGTTTTTATGGAATTTCATTATAAATTCTATTCACTGCATCTTCTAAACTACTTTCTATTTGAAATGAAGAAAATAAATTCTGTGGTTAAACACTGTAATTAGATTGATCTTAAGATTAAATTTTCACTAATGTCTTTCACAGTATTCAAGAGATTTTATGTATAGACTTTTCGTGACAATCTATTGCAATGAACTTCTAAAGCAGTTTAAAAGCAAAAAATATTTATTCAGTCTTTTGTTTGAAAAAAATTCAAGGCATGATTTTCTTATATTCAAGGGAATTAATAAAACAAAACAAAAAAACTTTCTTTACTTCTAGGATAATCTTTTCATCGTATTTCACATCAAAAGACGAACAATGGATGAACACTTTAAAAATCAGTACATTTGTTTCATTGTAAAAACTCAGTACAAACATGTCAGCTGATCAAAAGAATATTTTAAAATATATCTTCCTTATGCAAGACTATTTACATAACATTTTTAAATAAACACAACTGTTTGTGAATTATGTATGATCTACTTACATCAGAGTCTGGTCCTTGGTCAGCACCAGGACATCCAAATGATACAAACTCATGACACCTTTTGTGTACTACAAAACTACATACTGCAATGATAGAAGAGAACTAATTATTAAATAAAAATAAAAGTTTTATTATTGATATATAAAACATCTTTGGAAATATACATCTAGGGTAGCTTTTAAGTAATAAGTTTCCTAGAATGTGTCCCTCTGACAGTAAGACCCTTGGTTTGGGGTCATATCCCTGTGCAAGATGTATTAATGCCCAGACAGTCTGATTGGAATTGTTATATTAAATCTGATGCTTCATGTTGGAAGAGTGCCATTCACTCGTACATTAAAATAACCCTTTTGACAACTTTTCTAAGGTTCGATGAGGTGAAAAACTTAATTTCATCCTTAACTGCAGCATGCCTTCATATAGCAGAGGCACCCAAATATTTTCAAACTAATCTCATGGTCTATTCCCTTTCAAGAAGTGGTTTAACAGAACATTTTGCAACCTCAAACATATGCATTCAACAAAAAATATTCAACCAGACTTAATACAGTGTACATGTAGATGTATCTAACAACATAATAAGTTCAAAATTCAAATCATGGTTTGGTACCTGATTTAAATTGTATCCTGTTCCAGATCAAAATACAGAAATGTCAAAGTAAATATCCATCTCTCCCATCATTTGAAGAATTTTCAAGTTTTTTCCCCCATTTCTTGTTTTTTCAGAGACTTCAATCTTTTTTATAATGAATTTGGAATTAAAAGCCCATTTGATATTGTCTAATATACCTATACATGAATTACTGACACTGATGTATTGTGTATATATTTGTTTCATGCTGTCCTGAACATGCATGAAATATTTGTCACTGGACATTCAGCAAATAGTAATAATTCTTGCATTGTTCAGTTACTTATTGAATATTTTTCAACTTTCTTCTACTTGGATTAGTTCATTTATATAAACAGATGCTTTTATAAATACATATTAACAAATGAAAGACTCAAATAAGAGATATTATATCTATATAAAAAAATAAAATAAATGGGGAATGTGTCCATGGGACACAGATGATGCCCCTGCTTGCATATCATATAAATTTATAAAGGGACATAACTGAAGAACAGTAAAAGTGCTGCTACCCAAATTTGTACTTGATCTGAGTTTTGTGGTAATAAGTATTGTGTATAAGTTTCATAACATTTGGTTGAGGCAAACTTAAGTTAGAGAACGGAAACGAAAAATTCAGCAATTTTTCCATTTGTAAAGGGGCATAACTCTAGAACGGTTAAAGTGACACCATCAATATTCAAACTTGTTCTGTATTTTGTGATAATAAGCATTGTGTATAAGTTTCATAACATTTGGTTGAGGCAAACTAAAGTTACAGAACTGAAACGAAACATTCAGCAATTTTTCCATTTGTAAAGGGGCATAACTCTAGAACGGTAAAAGTGACGCAACCAAAATTCAAACTTGATCTGTGTTTTGTGGTAATAAGCATCATGTGTGAGTTTCATAACAATTGGTTGAGGCAAACTAAAGTTAAAGAACGGAAACAAAAAATTCAGCAATTTTTCCATTTGTAAAGGGGCATAACTCTAGAACGGTTAAAGTGATGCCACCAAAATTCAAACTTGATCTGTGTTTTGTGGTAATAAGAATTTGTATAAGTTTCATATCCTTTGGTTGAGGCAAACTAAAGTTAGAGAACGGAAAAAAAACTAGAGGCTCTCAAGAGCCTGTGTCGCTCACCTGTATTTACTGATGCTTTGGAAATCATGTAAAATAAGGTTAAAATCATAATTATTAGTATTAGATATTAGATATTATAATGATATCTAAGATAATAACAAAAAACTGCAAAATTTTTGAAAAATTATTAACTCAGGGGCAGCAACCCAACAACGGGTTGTCGGATTGGTCTGAAAATTTCAGGGCAGATAAATCTAAATCTGATGAACATTTTTGCCACCTATCAGATTTGCTCTAAATGCTTTAGTTTCAGAGATATAAACCAAAAACTGCATTTTACCCCAATGTTCTATTTTTAACCAAGTCGGACATGATGGTTGGAAGGCGGGGTCATCGGACAAATTTTTTAAACTAGATACCCTAATAATGATTATGGCCAAGTATGGTTAATTTTGTCTCAGTAGTTTCAGAGAAGAAGATTTTTGTAAAAGATTACAAAAATTTACGAAAAATTGTTAAAAATTGACTATTAAGGGCAATAACTCCTAAAGGGGTCAACTGACAATTTTGGTCATGACAACTTATTTGTAGATCTTACTTTGCTGAACATTACTGCTGTTTACAGTTTATCTCTATCTATAATAATATTCAAGACAAGAGTGCACACGCTGAAATGTCTCGCCTTCTTTACTAATCATTGATATTATGTTGATAGTCCTAAATATAAAGCTTTATTACAACTGTCACATAAACTTAACATTAACCAAGTAAACTAAACATTGACCAATGAACCATGAAAATGAGGTCAAGGTCAGATGAACCATGCTAGGCAGGCATGTACAGCTAACAATTCTTCCATACAACAAATATAGTTGACCTATTGCTTATAGTTTAAGAAAACAGACCAAAACACAAAAACTTAACACTGAGCAATGAACCTTGAAAATGAGGTCAAGGTAAAAAAAAACCTGCCTGACTGACAAATAGATCATAAAATATTTCCATACACCAAATATAGTTGAACTATTGCATATAGTATTAGAAAAAAAGACCAAAACTCAAAAACTTAACTTTGACCACTGAACCATGAAAATGAGGTCAAGGTAGGATGACACCTGCCAGCTAGACATGTACACCTTACAATCATTCCATACACCAAATATAGCTGACCTATTGCATGCAGTATTAGAAAGAAAGACCAAAACTCAAAAACTTAACTTTGACCACTGAACCATGAAAATGAGGTCAAGGTCAGATGACACCTGCCAGCTAGACATGTACACCTTACAATCATTCCATACACCAAATATAGTAGACCTATTGCATACAGTATAAGAAAAACAGACCAAAACACAAAAACTTAACTATAACCACTGAACCATGAAAATGAGGTCAAGGTCAGATGACACCTGCCAGTTGGACATGTACACCTTACAGTCCTTCCATACACCGAATATACTAGACCTATTGCTTATAGTATCTGAGATATGGACTTGACCACGAAAACTTAACCTTGTTCACTGATCCATGAAATGAGGTCGAGGTCAAGTGAAAACTGTCTGACGGGCATGAGGACCTTGCAAGGTACGCACATACCAAATATAGTTATCCTATTACTTATAATAAGAGAGAATTTAACATTACAAAAAATCTGAACTTTTTTTTCAAGTAGTCACTGAACCATGAAAATGAGGTCAAGGACATTGGACATGTGACTGACGGAAACTTCGTAACATGAGGCATCCATATACAAAGTATGAAGCATCCAGGTCTTCCATCTTCTAAAATATAAAGCTTTTAAGAAGTTAGCTAACGCCGCCGCCGCCGCCGCCGTAGCCGCCGCCGCCGCCGCCGGATCGCTATCCCTATGTCGAGCTTTCTGCGACAAAAGTCGCAGGCTCGACAATAATAACCAACTAGAGGCTCTAAAGAGCCTGTGTCGCTCACCTTGGTCTATGTGCATATTAAACAAAGGACACAGATGGATTCATGACAAAATTGTGTTTTGGTGATGGTGATGTGTTTGTAGATCTTACTTTACTGAACATTCTTGCTGCTTACAATTATCTCTATCTATAATGAACTTGGCCCAGTAGTTACAGTGGAAAATATTTTGTAAAAATTTACAAAAATTTACAAAATTTATGAAAATTGTAAAAAATTGACTATAAAGGGCAATAACTCCTTAAGGGATCAATTGACAATTTTGGTCACGTTGACTTATTTGTAGATCTTACTTTGCTGTACATTATTGCTGTTTACAGTTTATCTCTTATCTATAATAATATTCAAGATAATAACCAAAAGCTGCAAAATTTTCTTAGTATTACCAATTCAGGGGCAGCAACCCAACAACGTGTGCCTGATTGGTCTGAAAATTTCAGGGCAGATAGATCTTGACCTAATGAACAATTGTATCCTTGTCAGATTTGCTCTAAATGCTTTGGTTTCAGAGATATGAGCCAAAAACTGCATTTTACCCAATGTACTATTTTTTAGCCATGTCGGCCATCTTGGTTCACAGGCGGGTTTCATCGACACATTTTTTAAACTAGATACCCTAATGATGATTGTGGACAAGTTTGGTTAAATTTGTCTTAGTAGTTTCAGAGGAGAATATTTTTGTAAAAGATTACAAAAATTTACGAAAAATGGTTAAAAATTGACTATAAAGGGCAATAACTCCTTAAGGGGTCAACTGACCATTTTAGTCACGTTGACTTATTTGTAGATCTTACTTTGCTGAACATTATTGCTGTTAACAGTTTATCTCTATCTATAATAATATTCAAGATAATAACCAAAAACAGCAAAATTTCCTTAAAATTACCAATTCAGGGGCAGCAACCCAACAACGGGTTGTCAGATTCATCTGAAAATTTCAGGGCAGATAGATCTTGACCTGATAAACAATTTTACCCTGTGTCAGATTTGCTCTAAATGCTTTGGTTTCAGAGATATAAGCCAAAATCTACATTTTACCCCTATGTTCTATTTTTAGCCATGGCGGCCATCTTGGTTGGTTGGCCGGGTCACCGGACACATTTTTTAAACTAGATACCCCAATGATGATTGTGGCCAAGTTTGGTTTAATTTGGCCAAGTAGTTTCAGAGGAGAAGATTTTTGTAAAAGTTAACGATGACGAAGACGACGGACGATGGACGCCAAGTGATGAGAAAAGCTCACTTGGCCCTTTGGGCCAGGAGAGCTAAAAACTGCAAAATTTCCTTAAAATTACCAACTCAGGGGCAGCAACCCAACAACGGGTTGTCAGATTTGTCTAAAAATTTAGTGCAGATAGATCTTGACCTGATAATCAGTTTTACCCTATGTCAGATTTACTCTAAATGCTTTGGTTTCAGAGATATAAGCCAAAATCTACATTT